ACCGCCCGTCGGCGAAGGCGAGGGAGCAGCGGGCGAGGAGAAGAACGCTGGGAAGAAAGGAGCGGAGGCCGTGGGGGACAGCGAGGAGGACGGGGAGGATGTGTTCGAGGTGGAGCGAATCCTGGACATGAAGACCGAGGGGGTACGTGAGCGGGCGGGACGCGACCCGGGTCCGGGGACGGCGGCAGCGAAGTGGGAGTCTCGGGAAATGGTGAAAGTTGGGTCTCCGGCAGCGTCTCGGCGGCGGCGTGTGAGAGTGGTGACCGTTCACACAGGGCTGGGTGTTGACGTACCTGGTTGGGGCCGTTACTGGGAAGGGGTGACGTGACGTTGAAATTAGTCTGCTGCTCAGAGCCCGTGTCCACGCCGTCGTTTCAGGTTTTTTTTTTTCCCGAAGTTGTAGTCAACTTTCTGGTGTGAAATCTTCAGGATTATCTACTGTAGTTGAAAAGTAAACAGAAATTTTCACGTCCATTCACCTTGGGCATCCTCGACCCTAGAGGGTGCATTTCAAGGTCTACCGAAAGTGCCCACTGCCACCCTGCCTCCCGGGCATCATTTGATGGCCGCCGGGGCCGTCCGACCGCTGGCGCTCCCGCTCCCCCTCCTAGGCCACCTCTTTGTGCCTGTTCCATCCTGAACTACGCGGGAGCGAAACGCGGCCATCTCGGGGCTCCGTTTCAACGCTTAAAGCATCAGCGTTCCGTATTGTTGTTCTCCTGCTCCTTGAATACAGGGAATGTGATTTTGTTCATCTTGGTATCACTGTTAGGTAATCCAGTGCCCAGCATGCAGTTAGCGCTTAGTGTATATCCCGTTATTAAATGAGGAAAAGAATTGTAGGCTGGAGGCTGGGGTGAAGGGGAGAGATAACCAAAGGCCCCACACATATAGTGGATTCTTTTCATTGTCTATTAACTTACCATTCGTCTTGTACTACCTTGATTTAATTATTTTGTTCAGTCATTCAACAAACTTTTTTTAATCAGCTCCTGTGTGCTAGGGGCTGTGATGGGTCCTGTGGATATAGAGATGGAACTGTAGCTACACATTTGCTGACATTGAACAATTCTGTCCAGTAAATAATTGAAGTCCAGTGCCATTAATACTATTGTTAGTTGCACAATACAGTAAAGATAGGAACATTTTTAGGTATAATTTTCCCAAATATATTGTAAATGCCTTGAGGTGAGAGATGGAGCCAATCTCACTATTTTGTATCACCTGCAATTGACACAGTACTTGGCACAGAGCAAATACTTAGAAAATATTTGGCTAGGAGGGTAGTATCTTTAAAATGAAGAGGATTCATCTATTTATGCACTCCTAATTTTGTCAGTCCCAAAGAATTGTTGGCAGTATACCTAAAGCCCCCCTCCCGCTCACCCACTTTAGTAACACACACTCACCTGGTTAGTTTCCCTGGCCAACAGCTGCGTGGACTTGGTACTGGATGTAGCAGTACCAGCCCGCTGGAGCACAGCCAGAAACAGACTAGCTGGATTGGGACAGGACATGAACTGAACCAATGGTGCAAAATTTCTGGACATTGGGAACCCAGAGGCAGCCTTCTATTCTTAGCACACCAAAACCTCCCACCTGCAGGTCTCTTGAAATTCTTTCCTTGGGACTCTGAAAGAACACGATTTCCGCTGGCAAGAGGAAGATGAAAACAGTACTGGAGATGGACAGTAGTAATGGTTGCACATCAATGTGAATGTATTTAATGCCATTGAACTGTACACTTGAATATGACTAAATGGCAAATTTAAGATACATATATAAAAAATATAAAACTGTAAAAATTTTTTAGTTACCTGTTGTATCCTTTGCCCATTTTCTTGTTCATTTACAGTCAAACTTCTTTTTCTTGAATGTCTCCCATCTCAAATAATTCAGTTCTCAACCAAGTTGTTAACAGAAAAAATGACTCCCTCCAACTTTGGTTTTTGAACTGACAACCCTTTTGTGCTGATAGCTCAGCATGACAAAAAGCTCTCAGGCCACAAACAAGTGAGAGAATGCTTTTGTTGTTGGGGAAGTCAATTTTAAGACATAAAAAGGGCATGGAGTGCTAATATTGCTAAGGGTGTGAAAGAAACAATTATCATGGACAATTTAAAAGATAGAAAAACTATTGTAGATTTTGATATATGAAAAGCAGTTAGCCAGTGACAGCATTTCGGAGACAGTGATATATGAACAAGCAAAGATGGTGACCTGAAAGACAACCCTGGAATGAGTGCTGAAAGTGATTTGTTTAAGCCTAGTAGACGGTGGTTCGATAATTTTAAGAAAAGAAGTGTTTATAGATTAAACAGTACATTAGATATGTACTGTATATAAGAAAGGTTAAAACAGTCATTTGTGGGTCTGGAGCGGATTAATTAAATTTACATTATTTGAGCCCTATCCGGTTTGGCTCAATGCATAGAGCGTCAACTTGCAGACTAAAGGGTCCCAGGTTCAATTCTGGTCAAGGGCACATGCCTGGGTTTGGGGCTCAATCACCAGTGGCAAGCGTGCTGGAGGCAGTCAGTTAATGATTCTCATCATTGATGTTTCTGTCTGTCTCTCCCTCTTCCTTCCTCTCTGAAATTAATAAAAATATACTTAAATTTACATAATTTCTAATGGGGAAAAATGATTCCATTTTCAAACAAATTGCTTCTCGAACAGCCTCCCGGAATGAATTAAGCTCAAGAACCAAGGTTCCACTGTATAAGAATTTTTTTTTAATTTATTTTTTTTAAAAAATATATTTTATTGTATTTTTCTTTCTGTCTGACTTATTTCATTTAGCATAATACTCTTTTTAAACTTTATTAAATCTTTATTGTTCAGATTATTACAGTTGTTTCTATTTTTCCCCCTATAGCGCCCCTCCACCAGGTTCCCACCCCCCCCTCTACCCCTACCCCCCCCCCACTGTCCTCATTCATAGGTGTACGATTTTTGTCCAGTCCCTGTACCCCTCCCCCACATCCCTTCCCCCCTGGGAATAGTCAGTCCACTCCCTTTCTATTTCCCTCATTTTATTATAATCACCAGTTTATTCTGTTCATCAGATTACTTATTCACTTGATTTTTAGATTCACTTGTTGATAGATGTGTATTTGTTGTTCATAATTTGTATCTTGACCTTTTTCTTCTCCTTCCTCTTCTTAAAGGATACCTTTCAGCATTTCGTATAATCCTGGTTTGGTGGTGTTGAACTCCTTTACCTTTTCAACACCTCCAC